CATGACCGAAGCTCACAACACTCGTTATTCCGTCCACCCGGGTTCAGATAAGATGTATCTGGATCTTAAAAAGCTATACTGGTGGCCTAACATGAAAGCAGATATTGCAACCTTCGTGAGTAAATGCCTTACTTGCACAAAGGTCAAGGTCGAATACCAGAAACCCTCCGGTCTTCTACAAAAACCGGAGATACCAGAATGGAAGTGGGAGCGGATCACTATGGACTTCATAACCAAGTTGCCCAAGACGACGGGTGGACTTGATTCCATATGGGTCATCGTCGATAGACTGACCAAGTCTGCACACTTCCTACCAATCAAAGAAACAGACAAGATGGAGAAACTTAACAGAACTTACATTAGGGAGATTGTAAGGCTGCACGGTGTTCCTTTATCTATCATCTCGGACCGAGATAGTAGATTCACATCGAGGTTCTGGCAGTCATTACAAAATTCCCTAGGAACTAGGCTGGACATGAGTACAACCTACACCCACAGACCGACGGGCAAAGTGAGAGAACTATCAAACCCTAGAAGATATGTTGCGTGCCTGTGTGATTGACTTTGGAAAAGCTTGGGATACTCATTTACCCCTTGTCGAATTTCCTACAACAACAGTTATCACACGAGCATAAAGGCAGCTCCATTCGAGGCCCTCTATGGCCGAAAGTGCAGATCCCCTCTGTGCTGGGCTGAAGTGGGTGATACCCAGTTAGCTAAGGGACGAGTTCCCGAAAGCACTCTCACGGGTCCGAAAATAATTCGGGAAATGACAGAGAAGATCGTTCAAATTCGTGAATGATTGAAAGTGCAGAAAAGCTACGCTGACAAGCGTAGGAAACCATTGGAGTTCCAGGTGGGCGACCGAGTCCTACTGAAAGTCTCACCCTGGAAGGGCTTTATACGCTTTGTAAAGTGTGGGAAGCTCAATCCAAGATACATAGGGCCTTTTGAGATTCTTGCGAGAATTGGTCCTGTAGCTTACAAGCTCAACCTACTGCAAGAACTCAGTAACGTACATCCTACCTTCCACGTCTCGAACTTGAAAAAGTGTCTATCCGACGAGACTCTTGTTATTCCACTCGACGAGATCGAGATCAACGAGAGCCTCAACTTCGTGGAGGAACCAGTAGAGATCATGGACCGAGAGGTCAATCAAACAAAGCAGAGTTGTATCCCGATAGTGAAGGTGCGCTGGAACGCAAAGCATGGACCGGAATTCACTTGGGAACGTGAGGATCAGATGAAACTGAAATACCCTCACCTTTTCGCTTAGTTATTTGTAAATTTCTTATTTGCTTAAATTCTAATTTCGGGACGAAATTCCTTCTAACGGGGGGATGATGTGACAACCCGAAATTTCCATTCTGTACAAACTATATCACTTCAATAGAAGTTATAGCAGTCACAGTTAATTTTCAGACTTTTGCGTAAGTTTGAGTAATTCAGGGTTTATACTTCAGGAAATATCAGGAGAGTGGGTGCACTAGGGTTTTGTGCAACACTGTTATTCCAACACTCTATTTTATTAGGGATCATTTCAGGAATAAAAATATTTTCTGCCAAAATATCTCAGGACTATAAATAGATTTCTGAATCAAATTCATTCATTATTCACATTTCCGACTAGAGAAAAGCCATTTTCTCTCTGACAGATCTTCGGGTTTTTATACCAAAACATGAGTAACTCTTTATAGTAATGTTAGAAAGCTTTATATGTGTCTATAACATGATTTAGAAGGCTAAAACATGAGATCTAGGAGTTTACACCCCAAGGTGTTCTTGGGCGGTAAACTCCCGAAACGAAGCCAAAACCGACCTTGTGTTATGATAAGACTTAGATGCTTATGTATACATGTTAGGGACAAGAAAACAACCACAAATCACCCAAGTTTGGGGAGTTCACGGCCAAGAGTTGCTTAGGCTGTAAACTCCCTTTTCAAGCTCAAAATGGTGATTTAAGGACTCTAAGACCTTAAGGCTTTTATCTAGACTATTTTCCCATGAAGTATAAGGCCTTAAACACATCAAAAGACACAAACAAAAGTGAGTTTACGGCCCAAGTGAATCTTAGGCCGTAAACTCCATAGAAATGGACAAAAGGGTGTTTTCAAGACACCTAAAGCCCTAGACCCCTTCATGGAATTGTTTCCCACAAAAATGAAGAACCAAAGTACATAAAAATCACTCATCAAAGTGAGTTTACAGCCAAGAGAATGCTCTTGGGCCGTAAACTCAAAAGAATGGCACCAAAGTGTGCCTAAGGTCCCCATTTGCTTTAAACAATTGCCTAGAACATATCCTTCAAATGCAAGAGGCTTGAAAACAACAAAAACCCACCATACTTAGAGTTTACGGCCATAAACTCTAAGGGGAATGGCCTTAGGGCCGTAAACTCTTAATTGGAGTACTTCTAGACCTTAAACCCTTCCAAGGACTTAGCCACTAAGTTAGAATAATTCTAGAAAGCATTTGGGACTTCAAAACACACCAAACACACATGTTTGGGAGTTTACGGCCGTAAACTCAAGAGTTTACAACCGTAAACTCCATGTGTGATGGTTTATGGAGAGTAAACTCTCATATAGGGTCCTTTGGAAATCCTAAACACAAATACCCTGTCCCACAATAGCTTAGACACAATCCTTATGGCTTAAAACACTTATATAAAGTGTTTATTATGTCTAGGATGTCTTAAACATTATCAATTAGTCATTTGAGTCTAATTGAGTGCATATATGTGTGATTATATGTTCATTACGATCGTAGTGTGTGCATAAGTCCTCGCTTGACACCTAGCCATCCTATACCGTTCAGTTCATTCCAATCACCAACTACAGGTGAGTTCATACCCCTAATCAATGTTTTAAATGATTTTAAATGCTTTAAAGGGGGGGGGGAATACAAGTAGGAACAAACATGTTATTAAATCATTGTTATGTATTTTATAACTGTGTTTGTCATTTAACAGATTTCACATACTACAAAATGTGATGCATGAAATGGTTTTAAATCTTAAAAACGCATTGTTATCAATTGTTTTACCTTGAAATGTATATTATAAATGACAACATGTCATTGTTAATTATTGTTCAAAACCCACAAGATGTCTTATAAAACCATTTTACATTATCGAACTAAACTATGCATGTACACTTATATTCTTATATATGTATTGATGTTATAGTTTACAGTTTTCATTTAGTTTCTCACATCCTTGAGTAGTAAGAGTGTATAAACCTACTTGAACAACTAATTACCTTCTAGTAAATTATCATAGGGATAATTTGGAGATATCAAACATAATTCCTATTACAAGGAATCACACAAGAGTCAGTTCATTCATGAGTCTATACCAGTACAGTACCTGATACATGAGTACCTTTACATTTGATTACATGATACATGAGTACGTTTACATATATTTACATGATACATGAATACCATACATGAATATTGTTACTTAGATACATTATCATGTACTCACTTACGTGGATACTTGTACCTAGAGTTATTAGGAAGATTTATTCGTACCTTCGGTGTAAATTTTCCTGCCTATCCCAGTTCAATGGGATGTCTATACGGGACTAACCATTCCGGAACCCAGCTGTTAGCAACACTGGGTGATGAACATCTATGGATGTCTAAGGTTGTTTCTGATATTAGGAGTTAGTTACGGAACTAACCATTCCTCCATCTCCTGTTGCAACAGAGGATGAGATGAAACTCTTCGGATGATCATTAGGTTAACGCTGTTATGGGATTAACCCCCCTTCCACCCTGCTGCCGCTACAGAGGGTGAGTGGACAAATCTTCGGATGTTCATTAGGTTATATAGGTCGTGTTAACCCTAGTACCTTGGGATAACAGTTACATATGATGTGTTAGTCCTAGTACCTAGTGACAACACTTACAATAGTACATTTTGTTGTTTACTTTATTTTGTGATTCTTTCACATAAACGATGAGTTAGACTAAGTACTTCAGTACTAAACAATTAAAGGAAAACTATCATTTTACTTACAAAACATTCAGGTCTTGGTAGAAGACTACATCTCAAACTGATAGAAAATAAGGGATTTTCTAGGGTTTTTCATATGTACATCAACATTTTCATTTAACGATTTACATGGCCTTTATAACAGATTTTCACGAACAAGGAAATGACACTTATATACTTATGAATTCACCAGCTTTAAAGCTAATACTCACTTTCAAAATAACTTGTATTCTCAGGTCATCAGTAGACAGGTACGATGGCCAGGTTTTGAGAAGACGGAGCAGACAAGTCTCGTCTTTTATTTTGATTGTATATTTTTGGTGTCTTACTACAATGAATGAAACACACATGTATTAAAACTTTACTTATAATTCAATGGATGATGTTGTTGCTTGTTTATTATAGTACACTGTTGTGATACTGCACATGACGTCCTCCACTCCTGAACGTTTCCGCCGTTCGTGGTTTTGGGGTGTGACATATAAGCAGTTGTGCCTTCAAAATCATCAATAGTGAATTGAAGTGTTTTGACCTGTGCTTCTATTTTCTCATTGAGGATACACATATTTTTTTCCATACATTCAAGATATTCTTGAAAGTTCTATAGATATTCAGAGTATGAAGATGTGTGAAAGCGAATCTATGCAATACCATCAACTACCATTTGGGCAGTAAGTCTTATGCACTCAGGTTCTGGTTTTGTGGTATCGGCTTCATCTGTTTCGTTAGGAGTACTGCCATCCTCAAGAGGATCTTGCTGAAAGGATGAGAGATTTGGTTCTTGAACGTCATCCTTTTTCTTGAGACTCTTTTGGAGTTGGAGGATATTAGGCATCAAGATCAATGTTGAAAGTCCTGGTAGATGCGTTGGATTAAAGAACAATAGACATGTTGTTTTCTTATCATCGAGTATTAGTCATTCACCGGAAGGAATATTGATCGTCCGCATTGGAGTATCCTCATCATGATTATCTTGTACATGAGAACCTTGAGGAAAATCTTAAGGTTCGGATTGGTTATCATCATCTTGGTTATCATCCTCAAGTGAGTCATAACCCAAGGAGACATGATAACTTGGACTTTCTAAAGCCGACTGAACGTGTGCTGGTGGAACTGGAGTGGAAGAGGATGGTTCATCAGAATCAGATGGACTTTGAAACAAGAAATCTATGAGAGAGAATGACTTAGAGGTTGTACCAGATTTAGGAACAGATGTGGGTTCCTCTAAATTTGATCCATGATTATCATCATAAATGGTTGGGGATGGGATAGGGTCGGTTGATTTGATTTGGATTTCTTTTGTCTTCTTTGCAGACTTCTTGGATGCATAATCGGAATACTTCCTCTTCTTTTTTAGAGGCGAAATGATTCCCTAGATGTATTTTTGATATGAGCATATAGAAGCACTGTTTTCATCCAGCTTTGTAAGTATAGAATTTGGAATGATGACTGCTTGTGAAGACCTAGATTCAGATGTCTTATGAATCTGATATGGTATCATACACAAGAAATGTGGCTGTGGGCCTTCTGGAATCCATCTCAGTGCAAGATAACTATTATGGATGGCATCATAAATAATGATAGACCACCAACGAGGATGATGAATCAAAAACTTATTCTTTGAGGCAGGGAGAAAATTGAGGAAATCTTCCTAAAGAATAGACGCGTAGTCAACATTGATGTCGTAGAAGAGTTCGTACATGAGAATCCAAAGGTCTGTTTTACCTTTACTGCGTCCACCAACTGATCTGAAGAGACATCTAGTGAGGACGGAACTGAGAAAGTACCATGGTCTGGGAAGACAAGATTTCCAAATTCTTGTAAGGCATGGTTCGTTTTCATCTTCAAATTTATATCCCATTTCCTTGAACATTGTCAACAATTGAGCAGAAGTTGGTGTGACAAATGTCTGCGGTTTAAGAGGAATATCACTTAGACCTAAACTGACTGTGAACTCTTCTTTAGTTAGAACCAAGGTAGCTTGAAACAGATTAAAGTCAACATCAAGTTGTTTGGACCTTGCTTTTGTGGAGATGATTGCTGATTGAAAGACTTTGTAGATAAGAGATTGTGGAGTTGGAGAAGTAGAAAGCAGTGCATATGCCAATTGGCATTTTTATAGATATTCAACTATAACACCAACTTCTTTGGGTTGGACCTAAGTGTTGAGAAGTGCATTATAGTTGGATGCAACTAATTCAATTTTAGGTGACGGCGAGTGTGTCTCAGTTGAAGGTCCAGTTGCATGAGAGTGTGAAGCCTTATGAGAAGACTTTGCTTTAAAACTATTTCCATCTTATTTGGAAGCCATGTATTGAGATAACAGAAGAGGAACAAAACAAAAAACTGAAATGAATTGTTAGTTAAAGAAATATAGCTAGAGAGCAATAGCATATAACCTTAACTAAATTCAACAAAAAAAAAGTGGTGGGGTGGGGGGAGGAATGTGTGAATTTGCATTAACTAAAAAAGGTTGTGACTTGAGTGGTGTTGTTGATTCAACTATGGACAAGAAGAATCTACAAATTCATTTTCACTAAGTAAAGGCCAGAAAGTATTACTTGGCAACTATTTAGGTAAATCTAAGAACACATAGAATTATGAATGGATTTAGAAAAAGTTGAAAAACAAAATATATATATATATATATATATATATATATATATATATATATATATATATATATATATATATATATATATATATATATATATGTTGATCCTAAAATAACATATAAAGACATGAAATTTAAGATCACATAAGAGTAATAGAAGAAACATTACCTTAAAGAAGATAAGTGTAGGAAATAGACTTGTGAGTATGAAAAGCAAGATATGCACCAATAAGTATAGTGCTCACAGGAAAGATTTGATCAAATAATCAACACTAAATAACCTAAGAATGGTATGTGAAGATGAACTAATGATCAAGAAGAAACAAAAGAAAATAAAAAAAGGAAAGAAAAAAAATGCTCACCCAATATGATGGCAACAAGAAGAGGTGTTCACTTAAAAGAAGTGACATGCCAATACTAGGGGAACTACTTGTTGTCTTGTTGAATCAATGAGCAATAGAGAGAGAAGTCAACATAAATGACACAAGAGATATTCAAATCTAGAGTGATCAAGGAATGTGATGCTCAACATAAAATGATGATGGACCACATAATGATAAACACTAGATTTTGAAGATGATCTGCACGAGAGAGGTTGAATGTTGATTCTCCAACAAGTAGTTGATGATGATCCAAAAGAAAAGAAAAGTAGGGTGTGTACAAACCAAAAAAATAATCTAGGGTTAAAAAAACGTGAATTAGGGTTTAAAAAAATGCTCACCTAGGGTTTTGATTGCATTAAGAGGTGATGATGAGATCAATTGATGTTGCTCCAAGAGTTTGATGCTCACTAGGTTTTCAAAATTTGATTCTAGATAAAGTAGGGTTTCAAAACTTAAATGTGGCTCAATTAGGGTTTTGAAACTTGAAGGTGGATCAATTAGGGTTTCACAACTTGAAGGTGGATTAAGAAGGTATCGGAACTTGACTGTGGATTAAGAGGGGATTACGAAATCTTGTTGATGATTAAGAGGATTGTAAATGATCAAGAGGGTGGATTCTCAAGTGTGGCGAATTCCCTTGTAGGTGAACACGAGATCTTGTTGATGATCAAGAGGGTTTTTGGCTCAAGAGTAGTGAATTCTCTTGTTGATGATCACGAGATTTAGTTGATGACCAAGAGGATGGTGCAATGAGTATATATAGGATACATCTAGGGTTTTGAAGGTTGAGTGATGCACAAGAAAACGAGATCAAGATTGTGGCTCAAGAAAAAGAATAAAGTTACGCAAGAAGGAAATGATCAAGATGGTTTTGATTTTGACTTGTTGATCACAAAAAAAATGGTTGTGGGGATCAATAGATGTGGCGTTGATGAGGCAAGAAGGTAAGGGTCAAGAAGAGTTAGGTTTTTTGCTTGATCACGAAGATACTTGTAGCTCAACAGAGAAAAGGTGCAATTAGGGTTTGTGGAACAAGAAATGTTTTGTGGCTCAAGTTGAATTTCGAAATTTGGTTGTTAAGCTAAATTTGTTGTGCCAAGGCTGCTTGTTGCTCACCAACTAAAGTTGCATGTTGCTTAGGCGATTGTTGCTCACGAAGCTTTGTTACTCCAAGCGAGTATGAGAGTAAGAGTGAAAAAGCAATAATGAGAAGTAGAAGTGAGGTATTTATAGTGAAGGTCTATAGGGTTTCACAATGGGCCAAAATAGGGCTTGCATGGGCCACCTTGAGGGTCCATAAGTCTTGGATGGTACTCTAGTATAAATAGGAGAAAATGTCAACTTCAGTCGCGAGCGTGAAAATGATGCCTTGAGAATCAAGAAAGAAAAAGGTGGTGCATGCATGGATGATATCTTTGAGACGTGCACGGCACCTAAGGAAAGATCTAATCGAAACGTGAATGGCTCACTTGAAACGTGTAACACCCTAAAAATTTGAACAATTTTTCACTTTTGGAAACCATAAAATATCATTTGCAATCATAATTAAAAACAGTGTGTCAACATTGTGTAACGACCAAAAATTTCAACAAAATTTAAACTTTTCAAAAACAACCCATTTTAATAATGTTATTACAATAAGGTTTTCAATACATTTATTATCAAAGTGTTCCCAGAACCATGTCATAAACATAAACACGAGGAGCGGTACGATCACGCCTTCGCCTTGCCACTGTCTCCTGAAAAGCCTGAAAAACATTAAACCACAACTGTAAACCCAAAAGCTTAGTGAGATACCCCCAAAATACCAACCACATATACCATACACATATAACATGTCATATCATAACCGAATCACAGAACAGCCATGCATATCAGGTCTACTGTGTGATTGGTCTGCCGTATCGGGCCTTTAGTCCACCGGGTGCACCCTCCGAGTCTAGTCATGTCCCTCGAGTCTGCAGTATGGTTGGTCCGCCCACACCGGGCCTTCAACCCACCTGGTCCACTCTCTGAGTCTACAGTATAACTGGTCTGCCTGCATCGGGCCTTCAGTCGGCCTGGTCCACTCTCCGAGCCTCGGCACATCTGGTCCGCCCTCGTGGGGCCTACAACCTATTCGGACCGCTCGCTAGGCCTTCGGAACAACCGGTCCGCCCTGGGTATCTAGGCCTACATCACAAAGCAGGACCCGCCTCAAACCAACTCTAGTCCAAACAACCATGTGCACATAAACATACAATCATATAAAAGTTCACAGTCAACAAGCCGATCAAACAGATCACATAACATATCATTATCCTAACCAGGATACCGACCTAACCGGTCACTAGCATATACCATCCTAACTACCAGGATGCAAACATATCAAAGCAATAACATAACAACAAATACCCAGATCTCAATCCGATAAAGGGCCGGACTTGGTGCCTTAGACCGTGTTGATATAGTGAGGATAACTCACCTCGCGATTGTCGATACTCTGAACTGAAGAAGCAGATTCTCGAATCACCAACTCACCGCAAATCCCGAACTAGCCCACTTAGCACAAATACCCATTAGGCCAAGCATAAATTTGTTGGATAAGGTGTCTAAGTCCATAACTATTTCTGGTATGTACTTGACCCGACCCGGCATGGTCCATTTGGGTTGCATGGCACCATGCAATTGGATAGACTAAATGAGAGAAATAACACTTGGAGATTATTAATATATTATAAGTTCTAATATATTAATAATATTATTGGATTAGTTTGATCAAGAATTAATTTAGAATTAATTAAGTGATCAAAAGATAACTAATTAAATATATGGGTTGATTATGTAAATCATCCATATCTTGTATAGTGGGCTAAAAGGCTCCATGGACTATCAAGTTGGGTTCCACCCATAGGATGCTCCATGGATGCTCCATGGGAGTTACAAACCCATGGGTCATGGAAATGAAGAGTCATGACACATTAGGGTTTAACCCTAGATGTGTCAACACTATATAAGTAACATGTTCTCCACCCAAAATCGGCTACACTAAGAATCAAGAGGGCTTGGCCGATTTTGAAGAAGTGAGTATTCTCTCATAAGTTCTTCCAAGAGCATTTGGTGTTGTGTGAAGCATTTGAGGCATCACACTTGGGGTGCTAGGCTCACAAGGTTTCAAGGAACACAAACAACAACAAGGTAAGTTATTCTATCTATACTTTATGTTAAAATTGTTCCCCATGTATGCTAGATAGGAATATAACCTTGGAATTCAACTTTGCATGACAATTAGACAAACATAGATCCAAGGTTATTAGGGTTGCATGTACACTTAGGAAGTGTTAGAATGCTCAAAACCCATCAGTGGTATCAGAGCCTAGGCTTGTTTGCTCTTATTTGTGCTTAAAAGTTGAAAACAGAATCGGAAATTTGCTGTCTGCGAATGGACTCGTCGAGTCTATAGGGGGGACTCGTCGAGTCCATGAGTATCTTCAACCAACTCGGCGAGTCAGTTCATGCACTCGGCGAGTAGGGTCGACTGAGTGCAGAATTTCGATTCAGTTGCTGGAAATGAATTAGAAACATTACCCTAAACTGTTTTGGTAATTGAAAACTTGTTTTTGGTGGTGTAATGTCTTTGCTAATTCATTTACAACAACTAGTTATCAAAATTACAAAGTTTTATGTAATTTTTGATTGTGTTCATATTCATGTTCTTGTTCTTATGATGTTTTAGATGATCATAGGAATTATTTGTAACCTATGTGGTAGATTAATTCTTGATCATAATGTGTTTTAATGGAGTCCATAACTTATCCTTAAGTTATGGAAAACCAAGAGTCACACTTGAGTTAAAACCATTAAGA